TAAAAAATATTGAAGTAAATGACTGACAAAGCATAGTATGTCCCCCAATTTTCTGGCAGACAGTTTAAAATTAGTGGGAATCTAAGCCAATGGGGAAAAATACATGGTTTGCCATCTAAATATTGGATTTTCTCTGAAGTCAGTGAGCCTTCACACAACTCAAATACTAGTGATGTGAACAGTAAATGTGTGAGAGCCAAGACAGTTTTGAAGAAACACTCACTCTACCAGGTTTTGCAAGACATTATAAAGTTCGGCTCATACCCCAAGCTTCCCCACTGGGCCTACTATGTGACCCTGGGACACTTATTTCATTTCCCACCAGGCCTACAGTGTGACCCTGGAACACTATTCATTTCCCATCAGTCCTACTGTGTGACTGGGACACTATTTCATTTCCCATCGGGCCTACTGTGTGACTGGGACACTTTCATTTCCCATTGGGCCTACTGTGTGACCCTGGGACACTATTTCATTTCCCATTGGGCCTACTATGTGACCCTGGGATGCTATTTCACTAGCTGTCTCCTCCCCTGTCCAGCTGCCTACTGCTGTACCTTGTTTCCCAGAGAAAGGGGAGGACTCAGGAGCCCCAAAGCATGGCTAAAGATCGCTGTGCCGATACAGAAATAAATGCCAACAAGCCTACAGCCTTCTGAAGCTCAGCCAGTGCCAGCTGAAACCAGCCAGCCCTTCCACCTTCTCTGACCCAGATTCCTCTTCTAGAATCAGGTCGCTCAGCCCCAAACTGTCCCGTGTTAACGCCAAAGGAGAAAGAGTAGAGTCCTTTTCTAGATCTTTCTTGGTTTCGAACGTTTCTCCACAGAACTCATCACCAAAACAGTTGTCATGATAGCAAATCCAACATGGATCACTTAGAATCTGAAATAAGAATATGCATTCATTTAACAGCCCCACAGTTATGTCTTATTGCACAAAGTCAGGCAAATTATCTGCAAATAACAATAACTGCTGTAGAGGTGTATTCTCTGATTAAATAAATATATATTTTATTTGAAAATTATTCCTTAACCCCTTCCCCGGCAGAAACGAGTATACTCGTTTTCAAAAAAATGTTCTTTTTCAGTCGTCGACGAGTATACTAAGAAAATATGGTAAAAAAATATGGTTTATAGGAAGACGAGTTACAAACTGTTTTCATAACCAGCACCAAAAATACTATATAGAACCAAAATAAAAAAATTAGTCTGAAAAAGAAACGTTTTTAACAAAAAAATTGTTGGGGAAGGGGTTTAATAAATATTATATTTAACAGTACAAAAAGGAAATATATTTATTTACCAAGAACAAAGGTAGTGAGACTGTTTCTCCCGCTATAACTACTAGTAAGAGAAAATATAAAGATATATAAAAATAACTTTTTTGTAGCCATATAAAACTACCTTCTTAAAACACCAAATAAATAAGTACATTCAATAATTATCCATTAAGCTACTACCCTGTAGCTACTAATCTGAAATAACTAAAATTCAGTATCAGGGTCCCGGATTTACAATACTGTGTTTTTTCACTAACTTCTTCATCCGCTTAAATTTCTTCCTTAAGTCTTGATGATCTTGTTTTGAAATATACCGAAAATATCTACAACCTAAAAAATAAATAAAACAAAGCAAAATAAAGAAAAATAGTTTTAATACTTATCAAATCCTTCAAATATACTTCTACATTTTTAGCTTTGCTTCATTCCTGGAGTAATAATGATTATGGAAACAGAGTGAGTTTTACTGTCTATACCAGTGATGGCGAACCTTTTGAGCTCGGCGTGTCAGCATTTTGAAAAACCCCAACTTAACTCTGGTGCCGTGTCACATATAGAAATTTTTTGATCTTTGCAACCATAGTAAAACAAAGACTTATATTTTTGATATTTATTTTATATATTTAAATGTCATTTAACAAAGAAAAATCAACCCCAAAAATGAGGTTGTGTGTCACCTCTGACACACATGTCATAGGTTCGCCATCACTGGTCTATACCAACATACCTAAGCACACTCTCAGAGCATCGCCAATGAAATGTACTGCTTGCTACAGATGTTACTGGTCCATCAACATTAAAGCGTCAACTTTAGCTGGTTTTCTAAGCTGCCTCCCACACCCTTACTTAGGTGATATGCATATTATATGCATTCATATATTAAATGAGCCTTCTCCAAAAGCAAATTATTCTAGATTCCTTCTCTTTTTTGTTGTTGTTGTTTTTTAAATATATTTTTTTTACTGATTTCAGAGAGGAAGGGAGAGGGAGCGAGAGACAGAAACATCAATGATGAGAATCATTGATCGGTTGCCTCGTGCACACCCCTTACTGGGGAATCGAGCGTGCAACCCAGGCCTGTGCCAGGGACCGCAATCGAACCTGGGACCCTTCAGTTCCCCCGCCCAATGCTCTATCCACTGAGCCAACTGGTTAGGGCTAGAATCCTTCACAAAGTTAGCTTGTAAAAGCAGCGAAAGAGGCTTCTATAATAATAAGGAAGTTATCTGTAGAAAACCTTGATGTAAAGCATTAGAATAAATAAACCATAGGTTAGATCAGGAATTATCTAGTCATTCTAACCACCTAGCAAGTAGCTGGACGGTGGTCCTATAACTCTGCCAAAGGTGCCCGGTGCCCATTTGAAGTTCTGCCAGGCCCTCTTGCCCATTTTAATATTGGGTTGTTTATTTTTGTTGTTCTTGAGTTGTATACATTCTTCTTCTTTTTTTAACATATTTTATTGATTTTTTTTTTACAGAGAGGAAGGGAGAGAGATAGAGAGTTAGAAACATCGATGAGAGAGAAACATCGATCAGCTGCCTCCTGCACATCTCCCACTGGGGATGTGCCCGCAACCCAGGTACATGCCCTTGACCGGAATCGAACCTGGGACCCTTCAGTCCGCAGGCCGACGCTCTATCCACTGAGCCAAACCGGTATCGGCAGTTGTATACATTCTTTATACATTTTGGGTATTAGCCTCTATCAGGATTGTTTGCAAATACCTTCTCCCACTTAGTTGGCTGTCTTTTTGTTTTGTTGATTTCTTCTGCTGCACCGAGTTTTTTAGTTCGATGTCGTCCCATTCATTTATTTTTGCTTTCGGGGTCAAGTTCACAAAATCCCCTCTGAGACCACGGTCCCTAGGTTAGTACCTATGTTTTCCTCTATGTATCTTACTGTTTCGGGTTTTATATCCAAGTCTTTAATCCATTCTGAGTTAGCTTTTGTGTATGAGGTCAGACAGCAGTTTAGCTTCATTCTTTTAACACTTGGCTTGCCAATTTTCCCAATACCACTCATCGAAGAGGCTTTCCTTTCTCTATTGTATGTTTTTGGCTTTTTTGTGTCAAAAATGAATTGCTCATATGTGTGTGGATTTGGGGGCTCTCAATTCTGTTCCATTGGTCTGTGTGTCTATTTTTCTGCCAATACCTTACTGTTTTGATTACTGTAGCTTTGTAGGGTAATTTGAAGTCAGGGAGTGTGATACCTCTGGCTTTGCTCTTTTTTCTCAGTATTGCTATAGCTTATTTGGGGTCTTTTGTGGTTCCATACAAATTTGAATTTTTGTTCTACTTCTTAGAAAAATGCCACTGGAGTTCTGATGGGGATTCTATTCCATCCGTATCTTGCTTTAGGCACCAGGGCCATTTTAGCTATGCTAATTCTTCTCACCCATGAACACAGCGTATCTTTCCATTTCTGCGTCTTCCATTTCTCTCAACAATCTCTTGTAGTTTTCAGTGTATAGGACCTTCACTTCCTGTAAGTTTATTCCTAGGTATGTTATCCTTTCCGTTGCAACTGCAAATGGGATTGTGTGTTTTCTTCATTTCTTTTTCTGATGCTTCATTTTTAGTATACAGGAACACAACAGATTTCCGTACACCGACTTTGTATTCTGCAATCTTTACTATATTTATTTATTGTTGTGAATAATCTTTTGGTGTAGTCTTTAGAGAACCCCGAAAAGACACTTTACCCAAGAAGACATATGGATGGCCAATAGATATATGAGATGATGCTCAACCGCACTAGCTATAAGGGAAATGCAAATCAAAACCACTATAAGATACTACCTCACACCTGGTAGAATGGCTACTCTCAATGAGATAAGAAGTAGCAAGTGCTGGAGAGGATGCAGAGAAAAGGGGACCTTGCTGGTAGGATTGTCAATTCACCCAGCCTCCATGGAAAACAGAATGGGGGCTTCTCAAACCATTAAGAACAGAGCTGCCACAGGACCCAGCAATCCCTCTTCTGGGTATCTACCCCGTATTTTTTTTTAAAACACAATCATAAAGATATACGTATCCCAGCCGAACCGGTTTGGCTCAGTGGATAGAGCGTTGGCCTGCGGACTCAGGGGTCCCAGGTTCGATTCCGGTCAAGGAGGGCATGTGCCTTGGTTGCGGGCACATCCCCACTGGGGGGCGTGCAGGAGGCAGCTGATCAGAGGATCAATCTCTCTCATCGATGTTTCTGGCTCCCTATCCCTCTCCCTTCTTCTCTGTAAAATAAATCAATAAAATATATTTTTAAAAAAAAAGATATACGTATCCCTATTTCACTATAGCATCATTCACAACAGGCAAGACACAGAAACAACCTAAGGTACCGCAGGAGGTGAGCTGTCTGATTCAAAAATGGTCAAACTTCGTATTTCAAAATCGTCTAGAAGAGACTTTTAGATAAAAAGAAAACACGTACCTTTTCCTAACAATATTCCAGCTACGAAAGCTTTCTCATAAGCCAAAGCTTTGTCCTCCTTCCAATCACTTTTTGCCCAAAAGGAGCTGAAGTGAAAGCCTGGCCACCAGTTTTTCCTGGAGTTCCACTCGTCCTGAACCCAGGCAAGGTGACTTCTGGAAAAGACAAAGGTCAATGTTGGAGATGGATCTAGGCTGTCGGAACGGGGACTGAAGCAGGGCCCATGAACAATGCGAGGAAGACGTGTTCAGACCAACGTCTGAGTCTGGCCAGGGCAGGGCACACGCATGCACA